GTTGTGCATTCATTTTGTGTAATACCTGCTAGATTCCTGTGGCTACCGGACATTTAAAACTAATATGTTACCCTCATTGTGTTGCTCCTGTTCTGTTCCTAACACATGGGTTATGTGTTTACCAAGAGCTTATTGCATCGTTTGCTTGCTAATTTATGTGAAATCAATTAATATTAACATAAGTATTGAACAAGATTGTAAGAAAAATGTTGAATAAAGTAGCAAGACAAATTATGAAATACTAGGTAGGAGTGGGAGGTTGAGAATTATAGAATTCAGGGACTCTACCTGGCAAATGCCTGTAGATTTTTTCTATTTTTTAATTTAATTTTTTTACATTTAATTGAATTTATTGGGGGTGACAACAGATAATGTCTTTTTCTATTTTAAAATAACTGAAACTGGATATTATTTACAATTCATTTTGAGTGTGGTTTATGCAAGGAAGATAGTGAAGATTCCAATAAATGGATCCATCCTCAAAGAATATTGGTAAACAAATTTACATTTATATGTTTTTACTTAAAGTATATTGTTTTTCATTAACAAATGACTAGTAATCCTAATAACACTGGATACATTGAATAAAATTCTGTCTACAGTAAATCTTATAGAATTTAGGGTAGTATTGGAAAAAATGTCAGGTGCTGATTATACTTCAGAAACATATGAAGTATTAGGGATTGGATATTGTAGGCTTGTTTATTTGTTGGAAATAATCTTTTATTTTTATTTTTAAATCTAGATTTTTGACTATTTGTTACTAGACTGTCCACAGATTGTTCATTTTATCTGTGCTTCTCCCTTGCCTTACTCTTTTATTTATTTATTTGCGACTTTTAGAGAGAGAGAGGGAGAAACATCGATTTGTCATTCCACTTATTTACACATTTATTGGTTGCTTCTTGTATGTGCTCTGACTGGGGATCGAACCCGTAACCCTGGCATATCAGGATGATGCTGTAGCCAACTGAGCTACCTAGCCAGGGCCCTTCCTTCACTTTTAAATAGTTAATTCCACCGAAGGGTGTATGAGTAACTCAGTTACTTGAATTGAAAAAAAAAATAGATAACAGAAGCACTTTATTCTGAAGGTATCACAAATTTTGTTTATCATTAATTCCAAGAAGATATGAGCTGGCAAATAAGGTTCTTATTTCAGTGAATAATGTTAATATTCTAGTTCCAGATTTAATCAACATGTTCCTTTTTTAGTAATTAGTTTTTGAAGTGTAAATGCACATTTTAATTTTAAAAAGTAAATGTCGGTCTGGAAAGAAGATTGCCCCATGAGCATCATGGGAGAAAATACCCAGTATAATTCTCTTCCAGATGGCACCCCTACAGGTGAAGCAGCAGCCTGTGAAATTACAGTCTGAATTACACTGCAGATGAGCAGGGCATTTGGAGCAAAGCCTTCTGATATCAGTAATGAATGACTTGGTTCAGAACCAAGGACAATTCCCAGGAAATTAAAGGCTATACTATCACGGAGGGAGCCTATAGTAAAATGAAGTTTAGCAAAGTGGAAAGTTGAGAGAAAGGACAATAACCATTAGCAATATATATATGAACCTTTTCATCTGCTAATGTTTTTAACTAGACATTAATTTATCTCACAAATATCATATATCAATTCTACATATATTCTGATACAACAATTGATTTTTCTAAACTGATAATTTTCACAATAGATGGTGGGTAATGGTTGCCAAGTAAGCTATCACTCTGAAATAGTATTAATCATACACCTTTTGTAAGTTCTAATTTTGTTTAGTATGCTCTGTGAGAAATTTTTATATCAGAACATTTGAGTACTTAATTGTAACTGTAGTATAATATAGTACAAATACTAAATCTTATTTTCAGTCAAGTAAATCAGTTTAAGAAGCAGCATAAAATAATGATTCAGAACTTGACCTATATTGTTAGACCAAGGTTCACATCTTGGCTCATTCAACTGTTAGTTGAATTCAACGATTAGGTAAGATTCTAATCTTACCTAAGGTAATCATTAAGGGGTATGTGGGAAAATGCTTATTGGTGCTTATTATTTTAAGTGAAAACAGGCATATGGGAAAATCTTACATATAAATACAAAGTTCAGGGTATTAAGTAAAATTGATTTTTTTGACTCAGGGGTGTGGAGAAATCTCTGTGATTATCTTTTTCAGAAGAATCTTAAAGTTAGAATTGGCAGCAATTTATCTCATTTGATCAAATTATTTTGATTGAGTTTTTAAATTTTATTAATTTTAAAGAATTTTTGAGCAGATGTCTATGTAGAGTTATATATGTTTTTATACGTATATTTTGGTATGCACATGCATACACATAGTCTTGGCTAATGGGAAAAAAGAAATGACACAAGAAAATATATTCTGACAGATTCCTGGAAAAAAAGGAATTTTAATTCCTATTCATGGATTGTAAATGACTATTCATTAAATAAATGTTACATGATTCTGGACAGCCTGGGAAGCTTTTATCTTATAATTTATTAAACATAATTTTAAAATTCTGATTATCCTTTACAAATATATTTTTTAAATAGCTCTTAATTTTTTTCTGCTAAGCTAGTAAGATTTATTGTCCAAACCTTCTACATATATGAACATACTTAATTCTCACAACAACTGTATGAAATAGAATATGATTATTATTGTCACTTTACAGATGAAGAAACTGAGGCCAAATGAAGTTAACTTACCACAGGTCACAAAGAAAAGAGGGCTCATCTGGGATTTAAATCCAGGAGTCCACCCTCTCAACTACTATATTATTGGTATCAACCGTAATACCACTTTAAAATTCAGTATAATTTAACCTCTAATGAATGGCTAAGAATAACTTGGTCACACATGCAATAAAGGAGTATGTTGTTAGAAGGAGGTACTTTCACCTATTGATCAAAGACTTTTTTGGTTTGTAGTACATGAAAGTAAGATGACATTTGAGCCTATGGAAGCAAAATATTTAGTTTAGCTAATGACTTTGAAAGGGTACTAATATTAGAAACATATTTGATACAGTGCCAAGTCAGTAACAGTGTTTATACCCACTTCCAAAAAACCCTGAAATATAATGAATACTTAATTTGTACCAAAATGTGAATTTATTTTATTTTAATTTTTTAACAGCATTCTTGTGAATAGGGACCATTTTTTCTTCAACCTATTAATATGTTTTACTAGCTGATCTTGTTCCATAGGGTAAATAGATGCCTCCTCTTTTAATAATTCCTTGACATAAATTATAACTCACTTTAATCAACAGATGAATGCTTATTTATTAGCATTTGTGTACATAGATCAAGTTATGTCAGGTTGATAAAGATTTTGTATTTGAATTCCAGAAATCTCTTGTTCTTTGAATACACAGATGATATTAATGGGGAACTAACTTTTAAGAATTAGACATATTACTGAAGTACTCTATCCACAAAAAGACTTTCCACCAAATCTTTAGTAAACACATTAATACAAGAGCTTTATTGCAAAATCTTTCTTTTGTAGTCATTTGCTTATCAATGAATTTGTGCGTTGGCAGTAAATGCCAAAGAGTTGCTAGCAGAATTTAATTAGCTTCCTTCATAAATGATTCAAGCATGAGAGCTGTGTTTTCTGTAATTTAAATTTGCTGTTAATCTCTTGGGAAGATTATCCATTTGGATTTGCAGGTTTTTCTTGTTTTAGAAAAACCTTTAAAAAATTTATTTTTGTTTGCTGTGCTTAAAGATAGTTGTATTTGTCAAAGGGTTATTTGTTCATAAAACAAATGAGTGAGGACAGTTTTGATTTAGAATGCTATCATTAGTGTAAAATTCATACTAGTTTACCCTAAGCAATAATAAGGTATATTATGTGCTGAGCACTTAACTTTCTCTGCTGCTCAGGGCTCTTGGGGGATGGGCCCCTAGAAGGAGAAAGAGTGACTGAAACTGGCATTAATCTCTCACTCATGATTACTTTGTCATTTCTTTAATAAACTGTAGAGCATACTGTTAGAATGCACTGTGTTTGTGACACCAATAGTGACAAATTATCCTTCCATTTGTGCTGTGATTATCCTTTCTTGGTGGGGGATTCATTACTCTTCTCAGAAATCTTGAGTACACTGGGGCAGTGGTTCATGAACTGACCTTAAAACAACACTAATTGTGCAAGGTGTTGATAAATGTTACATGGTGGGGGGGAAGAGGTCTCTAGTCAAAAAGTGGATAATGCTTGGTTAAAATATGTTCAACAGTCCCCGTTACCATAACAATTCTCAGAACTATTAATGCGCTAGTATACATTATGAATCTCTAAGATGAGGGTGTAGCATCTGGTCTTTCTTGAACCACTCTTTGATTAAAGATCCCTCTCCTCTTTTTTTAATCAGAGAGAAAGTCACTGGGCAGGAAATATTTTGGGAAATGGTGTTCCTGACCAGGATATCTCAACATTAGCCCTGTAGCCATTTGGGAGGAGATACTTTGTTGTGGTGGCTGTTCTGTGCATTGTAGGATGTCTTTCAGCTTTGTTGGCCCTTCCTACTACGTGCCTGTAGCAGCCCTCCACCCCCACCCCAGGTGTGACCATCACAATGTCTCCAGACATTGCCAGAAGTCCACCAGGGGCAAAATCTACTTGAGAAACACTACTCTAGATTAATTTTGCAATATTCCAGAGAGTTACAGGTTTTGTTAACAATTTCCATCTGAAATTTTTCTTTTGATGAGAAGAAGTAATAGCCTAGAAAGTGGAAGCACAAGTGTAAAGAAGGTTCAGTACATTCTACAGTAATACATTTTCTGGATTCACTTTACACCCTTGCCTGATTTTCTAATAATTATCATGTGGAGAACTTACTGCAAAAAATAATTTCAAACTTTGCAGAATATTCTATGGCATAGACAAGAATATATTTTTTAATAGAAGAGTAACCAGATACTTAAATTGGTCTGTCTGTGAGGATATTGCACATTTCTAAAATCCATTTTTTTCTGTTTTCTGCAGGGCTATTTTCTTCTTTTTGAGTCTATGTTAGATTCTGTTCTTTATGCAAAGAACAAATACTTGGCAAAAGGAGGATCAGGTGAGTATAAAATTCTAGTTTTAACAACCTATTTTAATCTGGCAGAACCAAATGAACCTTTGGGTTTCAAATAAACTATGCATTACTGAGAAAGTTCCCAATAGAGATGAAAGATGTTTTCATTAGATGAAGCTTTAAGACATCCATTTAATATACTGTTGATAGTAGAACATTATATAAGATATTCAGGACTCAAAGTTAATGGTATTCTGAAGAACACTTTTTATAAAAACATTGAGGACTAGATTTGGAAACTCTTTGATATTTAAATCAAAATGTAACAAAGTTTTTGATTTTTAATTCTTATGACATTTTGTTTTCTTTATTTCATGCTAGGTTGGAGATTATTCACTTTAGTAGCAAATATTCCTTGACTTCGCTAAACATATAAACCTGGTTTTTATGTGATTTAATGAGAACGTTTAAATAGTGACTGGTTTCTACTAAGTTGTTAAAACACAACAAACCCAGTCAGTATTTTTAAATGTATCCCAGTAAATTTGGAAGGCTTTCTTCTTCCTTTGGTAAACTTCTATCTGTATGCTCAGAGTGAGATTGTGTTCTAACAGGTTCTGCTGTGAACAGTTATATACAAACAAAATGTTCTCTTTAAAGGCAGGGACTATGTTTTTTTTCATCTTTGACTCTTCAATGAACTTCATTGCTCCTGCAACATAGATAGAGCATCATATATGTTTACTTCATTGAATCATTAAAACTGAATTGAATAGCATCGGCCTCCCTTCATTCACCTCCCCCTGTGCCTTCCCTTTCACAAAGCTTCAGAACCAGTAAATGGTATCCGTGGTCAGAATACAATCGGGAAAAGTGTTACATAAAAATGGATGAAAAGGAAACATTTTGAACTAGTGACATAAAGCAGTGGACCATACTTATGCCTTCTGCCAATCTGTTGTCTATGAAATTACTTTGGTAGTTATGGTATAATAGAAATCAATAAGGCCAACACATGAAACATTCTGTAGAATTCTTTTTAGAATGGCACTTAAATGCATTGTCTTTCTTTTTCAAAGTGCTCTCATTTCATTACTATATTTTTTGCGAACATTTTAAGATATGTTCCTAATCTCTGACATGAACATGGCTAAAATTTTTAGATATATTTTACCCTGCAGCTGTTGTCTCTTTCTATAAATGCAGTGGCTTTTTTAAAAAATGAGATGTACAACTTAATATTAAAAATTAATATTATCTACCATTTGTTGGTTGTCTATAGAAGGTGCCAAATAATATACTCTACCTTTACTTATGTTATTACATCCTCACAACAGCCCTTTGAAATTTTAGAAACAAGGGTGGCCTGAATGACACATAGTAAGTGGTCAGGGCCCTTTTTTTTATAAATCTCAGATCTGCTGGGTTTGTTTTTTTTTCACTATTCCTTACTCTTTCCCTACTAGAAGTATATTTTATTGAATATAGTTTTTGTCTTGAAGTTGTTCTAGGGAAGATTCTAAAAACTGTTTCTGTACCTTCCTCAGTGGTATTCATTGATCTTACTGAAGGAGTGACAGCAACTTAATACATTTAAATTGAATTTGTGATGAAATTCATTAAGAACTAAAGAGCGTGCAAATAATGAGGTTGTAGTTGAATTAGTGGCAGAGTTGTTGCCCAGCATCAGAGGGCTAAAGTGGAGGCTTATAAGTCTAGCTCTTTCCTTATTTTCATATACCTGATATTAGCACTAAGATGATCTGTAGGTATGTTGAAGAGAGGTCAGAATTTTACAGCTCAAGCAGTGCTGTTGAATGTTATTTGTTAACAGAATCAAGAGAGAAGAAAGTCAGAAATGAGTAACATGAAGTAGCTTAGTCTGTTTTGTGTATTTTAGTGTGCCTTGATGAGTATCACCCATCTAGTGCTTATTTTTCTATTGCAAAGTAAAGTTTTCTTTTATGTTTTGCTGAAGGAAAGATTTACTAAGCAATTATCAGTGTAAAGATTTTAGGAAGAATAATTGAATTACGAGAGAGGGAGAATATTGAAGACCATAAAAGCATGAAGGGACCACAATTTACTTTTACATTCGGGTTCAATTTATATCTCATTATATACATAAAGTAGCATGAAGTTAAACCTTTATAAAACACAGTCATCCACTAACTTGATTATTTATTCTTGTTATCACCAAAAAATTCCACAATATGGTAAAGGTACTTGTAGAGTACTATAACTACTAATAGAAATAATGTAAAGTTAATGAAATTTGGCTTACTAAGACTGCTTGTACAGGTAAGATTTACTAATGCTCATTGTGTGTTAGGAGTTGTGTTTTACATTCAACCAATGAAGAGATGAGGAGGAGAACTAAGAAAATGTTTGGTTGTAACCAGTGTATATTTTTACAACTAGAATTAAGTAAAAAACAGGATGACAACATAGAATGCAAATGTTTCATGCCCTAACAATGTCAAATACTCATGATAGAAAAATTGGAAAAGAAATGCAGAGGGCAAGTGAGAAGAAGTGTATATATTTCAGTTGCTTTATTTTTAACAGCAGGAGTTTAAAGAGTATCATTTGAAGCTGACAAATCAAGTTATAGAACTAAAAGCACATTTAGCACTACAAAGGTAATATTAATATTATACTATTGATTGAAATCGAGTGGTAAGGCCTGTGGTAATACATTTTATCTAAATGTTTATTGTGGTGGTAATTACATGACTATGTATTTATCAGGTCACATAAAATTATACAATTTTTACAAAATTGTATATATAAAAGGACAAAAGAGTGAGTTTTACTGCATGTAAATTATACCTCAATAAAAGTGACTTTAAAAAAAAAAATGAAGTGACATTTCCTCCTCCTCCAGATCAAATACATTATGACATGATTTGATTTCTTACTTTTCTGAAAAATATATTAAGGCTGTGTGGTAACTCTATGCCCATTTCTGTATTTGTTCTTAGTATTATCTTTGCATCTCTCTTTTAATTAAACAAAATAATGGGTGATTAAAAATAGGGAAGTGAATGGGAAACAAGGAAACAGACTAATTTTATCATCACTCATGATTAGAGATTAGTAAAAAGTGTTGAAAATAGAAAACTAAAGATATTCTCTAATGTTATAATTATAAACTTAGCTACTAGAATAAATAATACTCAGGGGAAAGGCAGAAAGATCATGTAGTGAGCTACTTAAAAACAAAACAAAAACTAGAGATACAGAAAAGATAATGTAAAACAGTATGGTTGTAAGCAAAACTGTTTCTTGTATCAGTAAATGTAAATGAACTAAACCTATTCAAAAAACAAGAATTTCAGATTAGATCACAAAAGAAAACCCTGTTCTATAAGGGTTCTATAAGGAGCACATCTAAAACAAAGTTACTCAAAAAAGTTAAAAGGATGAAAATATATTAAGGCAAATAAAAAATAAAAAAGAAAACAGCACTCATGGTATTAATACCAAATGAGGAATTTGAGGCAAAACACAAAATTTATCATATGAAACTTAAGTTGAATCAACTGAAAATTATAAATAATAAAAGAATTTAGTGTATTATAGAGATACACAATTAGAAATAAGCAAGACTTTGATGAAGACACTGTACTACTCAAGGATCCCCAAAGAAGATTTAAATAAATGAAAACACATACCATGTTCTTGGATAGAGAGAATTAACATAAAGATGTCAATTTTCCCAAAATTAATTTAAAATGAGATACAATCCAAAGATATTGACAGTTGTTGAAGATAGAGAAGTACATAAGAGTTAATTATGCTCTTCTCTATTTTTGTGTTTGAAAAATTTTATAGGATAAATTTTCTAAAATTGCAATGTAATTCCAACAGTTTTTTAAAAAAAAATTAGGATTAAAAAACGTTTTAAATAGGAATGGCAAGGAAAACTCTAAGGTAGAAGGGTGACAAAGTGGGTGTGCGGAAACCAGAAGAATAGTGCTACCAAGTATTGTAACACATTTTAATATACTGTTGGCTCTTGAGTGGGCAGATGAGTTGAACAGAAAATCCTGACATAGACCCAATAGTATATATCTTATATATTAATTAAGGAAATAATTTACTGTAGTTAATTGTGTTGAGACAGTTGGGTATCCCTCTGTAAAATAAAAATAGTAATGTTTAAGTGTAATCCATACTATATTAAATTAGTCAAAGCTAAATTTTTTTTTAAATGATAAAAATACTAGCAGAAAACATAAGTGTATTTTTTTTATAAACTTGGGTGAAGAGGGCTTTCCAAATAAGAACGTACAACTCATATACCTTAGAAGAAAGATTGATAAATTTGATTATATCTAAATAAACTATAAATTGCAGGATATGTCATATACAAAACCACAAGAGAAGCTACAGACTGAAAAAAGAAATACTTCAGTTATCACCAACAAAAAGCTAATCACCTTAACATAGAAATAGATTCTACAAATTGATAGATCATATAAATGCAATAGAAAATTGGGCAAAGAATTGAATGGCAGCTCACAGAAAAGGAAATAGATGACTCTTATTTAAACAAGTGCTTAGTCTCTGTCATGTTAAGAAAAATCTTCAGTCTAAGAAATCTTTGCCTTACTGAACATTGCACAGAATTTTTCTGTGTCTTCTTGATGAAGTTTTAGCTTTTACATTTAGGTCTGTGGTTCAAGTTAATTTTTGTGAATTATTTGAGGTAAATGTAGATGTTAATATTTTTCAGCACCTTTTGTTGGCAGCTAATTGGCCATATACGTGTGGATCTGTATCTGTATTCAGTTTGTTCAGTCTATAAGTATGTCTTTTCACCAATACTATACTTTATTAATTGCTCTAAGTTTATACTAAGTATTGATATCAGGTAAAGGGAGTTCTTCATCTTTCTTTTTTCTAAAAAATGTTGTGGCGATTTGGTCATTTATGTGTTTGCGTGCATGTATGGTTTTTAAAATTAATTTTAGAATCTTATTAATTTTAGAATCTGTTGATTTAGAATCTATCGATAAACTTTAAAAAAGAATGCTATA